CTACAAGGTCAACTTATCTTTAATGAATAGAAGTGATTTTCAATTAGCTTTTGCATTTAAACTCTTTCATATCATCAGTGCTATTTGGTACAGAGAATACAGACTATAGGAACAACTGCTCCTCTGTGGATCTGAGTTCATGAATTTCTATAAAATTGAACACTAATGAGAAGAAGCAAATGTATTCATCAGTTCTACTAAACTAGAACTTGACCTGATCTCATCATCTTGCCCTCCTTTATTTCATAATCATCCAGGAGATTTAATATTTGACAAGAAGTAATCTCATCAAAGGGAAAGAGACAGTAAAGCTACCAGAAAAAAAAAAAAATTAACTCTTCAGAAATCCAAGAAAATAAGGTTTACAATATTTTAACGTAAAAGAAAATGTTAATATAATCCTTACAAATCCAAAAACATTTCTTTTTTTAACTTTTCTAGTTAATTGCTGTTATTGTGGCCATCTTACAAGAGTCAGAATCACTGAGAGTACAGTAAATAGCCCAGTTTCCTCTTTCTAATTGCTCTGAGCAAAATAAACTTTTAATAGGCTCTAAAGACACACTGCTTTTAAATGACAAAGAGTAAATGTGAGAAAGAGTTATCAAATATGGTTGAGAGGAAAGAGTGAAGCGGGAGCTGCGTTCAGCCTTGAGGGTCGTGACAAAGAAGAGAGGAGAGGGATTACAGTAAAAATAGAAAGGAATGGGGGGTTGAGGGAAAGACTCAAAGGAAGATTACAGTTGTGTGAAAATGTGCCAGAGAAGCTGTTTGAGGAGGAAAGCGACGCGCTCTTCCTCTCGACGGTTTGGTTTGTGTTGCTTTGTGTGCGGAGCAGCGAGGATGTTCTGGCGGCTCTCAGCATAATGACAAGCTTCTGACGACAACACTAACCGTCGATCCAATCAGGCCGCATCTCTGTTTATTCTGGGGATTAAATTAAAGAACACAGCATCCAATTTCATACCTGGCTTCCCGCACCACTCTTCACACTGTGACATTTACTCACTAGCATGATGCCCTTTCTCTCTTCCTCCCTCTGACTCCCCTCTCTCGCTGTGTAACAAACAAGACAGGAGCAGGAAGAATTGAAGCCTGATTTACAATGAATGGAAATATATTGTCTGATGGGATTAACCATAGGGTTGAGGGAAGTTGTTCCCCTTCCCCCACACGTTGCCATGCTGCCAAAGACAAATAGCATGCATGCTCTGTTGTGTGTTTTTTTTTTTTATTGTTTGCCTATCGGGTTAGATCTGAATTATGGGGCTTGTGTTTAGTGGTTAGCTGTACGACACAGATAAAGGAGGCAAGAAGATATTTTTAAAAAGTGTGGCCTCAGTGTGAGATATTTGCTTTGGGGAGAAACACAACATTTTCTATTTAAAACGGATTCATAACAAATACAAACACACACGATAGGTGTCCTGTAGAAGTTCACTGAGAAACAGCATCTGTTTTGTAGCATTTAATTTTACAGAAGTTTGGCACACCACTGACTAATATCTCTGCTTTAAATAATTTCCTCTAATGTTAAAGGTTTGCTAGCACTGCTGATCCCACTGAGGGTTAATGCACCAGAGTGTATCTCACTGCACACATTTCCCACCACTTAGTTTTTGCTCATGTTTTGTGAGGATGAATAACTTTGCCTCTCATGTAAAACTACAGCCAGCCAATAACTCAAATTTAAAGGTGACTATATACTATATAAACCATAACTAGAACCCAACCTACACGGGCATATACAAATATTATATCAAGGCTCTGATCACTATAAATAATCAATATGTTTTCGATATACTAATTCCACACCATAGGAGTTCTAACCTCTTTGGTAGAAATAAATCCATCTTCAACAGACCAAACCAGAGCAGTTGGTACTGGATCACTATGTAATATACAGCGATCGTTTGCTAATATGCTGCCATAACAATTTTATGAGTTGATATCAAGGCTCATTGCTGTGAGTCTGTTTTGGAGTCTTTCTGCCCTCCAGCAGACTGAAAATACTTAATGCAGCTTTAACACAAACAAATCACTGCAACTGTCTCTATCAACATGAAGAATGACCGAGGCTGCTTCATCATTCCTCAAGTTTTAATACTGACAACAGTACAGTCCATTAGCTTCTTATGTCCTCAGCTGTTATTCCCTCCTAATGATGCCTTACATCACAAGTGATGCAAGTAGAAAATGTCGTGATAAGTCATCTTAAGACATTACCTGAGGCAAATCTAACAGATCGCCATTACTGCATATTAAAAAAACATTGAACAAAGTCGACTTTCTGTAACAAAATAAACCCAATTTAACTGAGTCAGTTCAATCAACTTATTCTATCACAGTGATACTGTGATATCAGATACTTTAGATATTACAGTCCTCGACATTCATATTTTTCTACCTTATATAATAGTATTTTGCTCTTTCATGATTTAAAACAAGACAGTACAATCCTCTTTATATACAGTTTATGGTACAACCACACATTGTACTTTGATTTATGTAACACCATCGCTTCTCTTATTCCTTTAACTCAAACTCATTAACACTTTGGTTCAAAACCAAAATTTAATTACCATCTCTGAAGTAAAGCAATTAGATATGGTAGAACAAATGTTTTACCAAGTATGTTTTACTAAAGCAACATAATAAAACCTTTTAAACAGCAGCTTCAAAGTTGTTATGATGATTAACTGACTTGGAATAGTCAGTTGCTGCTCTAGGTCCCAGCCCTCATCCTGAATGTCTGTTCTTGCTCTTCATAACTTTGGTGAGCAGGTACGATCTCCTCTGACAAGTGTGGAACTGACTGCTAGTCGCCGCTTCAACTTTCAGAATCAGGTCAGGATACTTTTAAAATTTGAAGAATCCTACAGAGTTTGGTGCATTTGTTACAGCAGCAAAAGTTCTGGTTTAGGAAGCAGGGGATCATGGGTAGTATCAATGACTTGGTTGTGTTTCAGTTTATTGAGTGGGACTACTGCAGAGGGTGCTGTTGCTCAGTTAAAGTTACAGGGTGTTGCTTTAAGCTATAACCACAAATGGAAACATTTCAATCATTGACTGTTTTCATTATCTCTGAGAAATGATCAGAAATTCAAATGTCTGCTCCAAACCAAAAATTTAGAATTTTAAAAAATGACTCATGTTAGCTAAGACCTCTGCAACCTCGGGGGAATGACAGGAGCAAAGAGAACACAAACTATTTCAAGGCAGCTTGCATCATTGCCTCAATAATCCCAAATCCCTTCAGATGTGTCGGAGGGAGACCTCAGGTATGGAAGACAGCACCAAGTCGGATAGTACCATCCAATTCTTATTAAGAGCCGATCCACCTTTTATTAAGGGGCTTTATTGTGGTATTTCCCTCTGGCTCAGCAGTGTGAAGTGACTGATACGCTCCACTGCAGAGAACCTGAGGACCCCTCAGGATCTGGCTCCAATTAGAGGCTGTTGGAAACTGTGACACGCCTGGCAGGTAGCGAGGTTTCCCATGCTGAGCCAAAGGAAAGAACGTTACGGTGACAAAAGCTCACTGAGGCGCAAACAGGTGCAACTTGATACCTTCACCTGACAGTTCAAAACAAACAGAAGATGAGAACGTTTTTCAAAATTCACTTCATCATGGTTTGTTTTGAGTTGGGCCGTCGGCACTGGGAAATTATTTTAAGCGTGTTTTAAAATATTATTGTCTCCTTTCAACAGTGAGGAAATTCAGTATCCGGCCTGAGTGATGAAAATACTAGTTTCTCAAAAGGAAATGTACTTATTCAAGAAAATGATTGCAACAAGAACAAAGCTCTTGACCAACTTTTTAATTCATCAATTGATCAATTTGTGTGTAAAACAGACAATAGAAGAAAAATGTTAATCACAAATTCCCAGATACAACGAAGACGTCTCACAATGTTTTCTTGTCTGAGCCACAGAAACACTGAAGATGTGCACTTAAGGAAAAACGCTACAACCGACTTCCTGCTTAGTGAATGGAGGGAGTTTTTCCTCTCCACAGTCGCCTATGCTTGCTCATTGTGGGAACTGTTGGGTTTCTCTATGTTAATATTGTTTTAAGGTCTTGACCTTTAAATGTAAAGTGCCTTGAGATAATGTAAATTATGAATTGGCGCTATATAAATAAAATTGAATTGAATTGAATTGAATTAAACCATGAGGACTTTGATATCACAATAGTTGCATGAATTAAGGCAACAGAGCCAAACGGGGCAAACCAAGCTCCACATAGAGAAAATATAAATTATAGTCTGTAAATAAGACACAACATGCAGCTGACTGACTGTGCCCGTCACACTGATGCACTATTGTTCTTCTCAGGGTGGTTTCTTTATTCCAAGCAGGTATGGTTTGTTTTTCCTCACTTATGTTGATTCATTTCCTTGTGATGTGTAAACTACAGCTTAAAATACTCTACAAATTGCAGGTTTTATGCTGTAATGAACATATCCAGGAAAGTACCAAGGAAACAAACATTTGTTCATTCACCTTGAGGGAACACGCTTCGTTATTTTGATTCTCAGCTTCACTTTACACACTCAAATATTTGCACCTGGACCTTCCTTCTTCCTTGTTGTTCGCGAACGTGCAGAAAAAGCTTTAGAGCCTGTCAGAGCAAGTTGAAAACGGCTGTGTTAGGGTATTCAGGTCAAACTAAGAAACTGCCGATTCTATTTAGTTGACATGTCTTCTTGTAATAAAGGAAATCAATTGTTCATTCCGAAATTCCTATTGTTAAATCTCTAGTTTTGAGGCTGAAAGCATATATATGGTAGAGAGAAATCGTTATCCTTGAAATGTATAAAATCAGCAGCTTCTTCCATTTCACACCATGAAGATATCTTTCCAGAAATAATTAGTCTTACTCCAGTTTTGTGCCTGAAACCTTCCAGGGAGAAATGTCAATACATCTCAAACAAATTGAAGACAACCACTGAATGACCTATGACCCCAAGATCCTAACGCAAAATACCGACACTCACCAAACATGTTGCCAATGTGGCCGTTTCTCGTCAGAGGCCGCAGCTCATTCTTGCCCCAGGCGTAGAGCTTGTAGTTGTCCCAGGCAAACTTCATCATCTGCAACACAAACAGAGGAGAGAAACAGCGGTCACTCGACTGACAGGCAGGAATCCCTCCTCCAAACCCAGATGTAATTATATCGCTGTAGCTCAAGGCGAAGGCAATGATAGCTTATTGATCAGAACGGGATTAAGGACAAACATGCAATTATCACACATAAACAATAAGATTGACATTTCCCCTGCAGCTACTCCTCCTCCTAAATTAAAGATTGAATGATGAAAAGCAACTCAGATAGATAAGACCGCATCCAAAAGAAGAAAAGTTTTTTTTAATGGATGCTCTCTTCTTCTCCTCCTCCTGATAATGAAAAATAGTGATCTATGCAATTTGGAATGAAGAAGGCAACTGTCTTTGATGCAGTGAATAAAAAATGATGGTGCCAGACAAGCATGTGAGGGATGAGGAAAAGCTAAAAGCCCAGAGTTGAGTGACACGTCTTTATGGAAACACAGTCACAATTAACTTAGCAGCATGACAGGGAACGTTTCATGTTATCGATCAAATAAGTGCATGAATATTTTAACAAAAAGTAAAGGGCTGCAGTTTTTTCCCCACAACTATTGGTCATAAACATAAAATAAAACATAACTTTTTTAATAAAATAAAATTCCTCCAGTTGAATGTGAAAACAAATATAATTAAAATATTATTCCAGTATACTTTATTTGATTTGACTATTAGTTGTTGAAGACACACAAACACTCATACATCAAATTCAAAATACAAAATACAAAATACACTGCCGGGCCAAAAAAAAGTCGCCACCAAGGTCACACACTCTAATATTTCGTTGGAGCGCCTTCAGCTTTGTTTATGGCACACAATCGCTGTGGAATTGTTTCGATAAGCTTCTGCAATGTCCCAAAATGTATTACTGTCCAGTGTTGCATTAATTTTTTCACCAAGATCTTGTATTGATGATGGGAGAGTCGGACCACTGGGCAAAGCCTTCTCCAGCACATCCCAAAGATTCTCAATGGGGTTAAGGTCTGGACTCTGTGGTGGCCAATCCATGTGTGAAAATGATGTCTCATGCTCCCTGAACCACTCTTTCACAATTTGAGCCCGATGAATCCTGGCATTGACATCATGGAATATGCCCGTGCCATCTGGGAAGAAAAAATCCATTGATGGAATACTGCCCCCACAGACTTGTACAGTCGGCACTAGGCATGATGGGTGCATCACTTCGTCTGCCTAAATCCAGGTGGCGACTTTTTTTTTTGGCCAGGCAGTGTACATTGTACTGAATCATACTAGTTGAATACTCTGCTGTTCCACTCTTTTCCTCTATCTGGACCTATTTTACTGAACACCCCTGCTCTAGTGAACACAATATCACCGCCTTGAAGAGCAGACTTGAAGTTCTTCAGTCAGAAAGCAGTTTTGCTATTACAGCTACTATTGGCTCTCAATCACCTGAAAGTCAGAATATTACATTATGTGCCAATTACCAGCCGTGACTGTGTTTGTGTACAAATGAGCAACGTGTTGAGATACACTTTCAAAAAGCAATGCAGCTGTGAGTATACAGGTTTATCCGAATCAGGTTCTGTAGGCAAAGACAAGTTCAGTAAATTACATTGTCTTCAGCAAAACAAAGCAAACACAGAGAAGTCGGTTCCCTCGGTACAATCTGCCGTAAGATGGACAGAGAGACCGGAATTAGATTTTTCCCTCTCTGGATTTCACGGTAACACGGTGTCATCTGTATTATTGCTACAAGAGACTCCTCGCTCTCCTGAGGTAGGCTCAGATAAGCCTGAGAAAAGAAAAAAAAATCCAACATGAATCCGATTACCTGCGACGAGGCCTCCAGCTGAAAATCTTCTCACCCTAAGAAGCTCATTACAGACACCTCAAGTAATACTAAGCTGCAGCCCTGTCTCACACTACAACAGGTCAGGTTTCCACAAAAGACTAAATGTACTCACAAGTTGCAAAAACCACGACTACGGGTAAGAGAGCGAAGCTTTGATTACAGTGAATCATGTGCCATTAAATTATTATGAAGCTACTCTGCCAGTTTAATTTGTGATTTTGCATCTGCACTGCGCCTCACATAAAAGAAGTATGCACTGAAAAACATTTGTGGATCAGCAGATAAAACATAATCTACATTAGCACCTTTGTTGTTTTCTTTTGTAGTTTTTCTTTATCAGGAGAATGGCGGCAAATCTGAGAACGCAGTGAACAGCTTTCCAACTGTGTTTTCCCCATTAACGCAAACAAAAAATATCTTGTATACTGAATTAATATTAAAGAATGTAGAAAACAAGCACAAAATATGATTAAAGGGCAAAACATCAAAGAATCTTGAGATGGAAATATGTTCACAAAGGTAATTATTTTCCTCTGAAAGAGCAGAGAGAACAAAAATATCCACCGTCTGTCTGACTGCGTCCTGACTGAACGTTCTGTCTGCCTGGATGCAAACCTGCAAATGTCTTCAGTCTTATTTGAAACTTACTCCATCTTTTACAATGTCTCACTCCCCCCAACTGCTTTGAAAGAAAACTAATAAAACTAATAGGAAAAAGTATTAGCATAAAAAGGGTAAATGTTAGAACTATATATGTCCCTCTAAGTTTCACTTAAATTACGTTACCAGCTGAACACCATTTTATGCAAAGCCAGCAAACAAATATCCAATGTTATGATGACCGAATTTAATGCTGCACTTCCTTAACAAAACACACACCGAGTTTTAAGTTGACGAACAGTTCTTGAGATATTTGAGCCATTAACAGACAGAGAGATATTTCTGGGATTATTAGAAAGATCCTAAATTTAACATATTAAGATGAAACAATACAGTTGGAGCGAAAATTACTGTATTTAATAGTATCCCCTTGTCTACAAGTTAGTGTACTAAATGTAAAAGCTTCGCATTCATGTAGACAAAAAGACTTGATCACACTCACACAAATATCTGGCACTGTGTTTTCACATCCCTGCTGGTGTGCGCTGCGGAGGGTCAAAGTGTGGGAGGAGTAAGGTCACATAGCTGTAGGTTTGCTGGTATACCGACCCATCACCACCACAACACACACAGCGCTAATCAATAGCTGTAACCGTATTTGAGAATACCACCCCCGAAGCTGCTTCTCCAATAGAGCAAATGGATGAATGACTCGTTTTCAGGGGAACAAAAAATGCAGACATGATCTGACAGGACACCGACTGTTCTTCTGTTGAAATAATTGGCTGGTTGTTGGGCGGAAAAGATCAATAACTGAACACAGAGCCAGTGATTAAAATGAATCTGGGATAGACCAGAGAGACAATATTCAATCCAGAGACTATAGGTCAGAAGTCATGCATCACCAGCCAGATCATTTAAGTGACACAGGCTGTTGAGGTTACATTTATTCTTTATCAACTCAAAAAGGGTTAATCACAATTTTCTATCAAACAAAATTACAGGAATTAAAACTGACTTTCCCTTTTCTTCTTGAATGAAATTAGAATTACTGCCCGTATGGGTCTGCCTCCACAAAACAGTGCACTTTCAATCTACATATATTTTTCCAGACTCTTATGAAGTAATCTTGACCTTTGAACACATTTAATCAGTTAATCTTTGTATCTAAGTGAGAACTGGTCGAAATTGGACCAAGTTTCCTGAAGGTGGACTTGAGATATGTTCTGGAGGCCAGAAACAGGATTTGTGAGGCCACCTCCTGAGAGGTGACCTTGACCTTCGACCTTTGTTCACCCAAATCTAATCAGTTCATCCTTGAGTCCAACTAAACATTTGTACCAAATTTTAAGACATTCCCTCATGGTGTTCTTGACATATCACATTCACACAAATGGGAGGGACGGAAAACACGAAAACAGAGGCATAAGAAATATTTCGTAAAATAACCACAGAACTTATAATCAAAACAATCCACATCAACTCTCTAAAAGGGATAAAGGGACGTAACACTGCTATAAATCAATTATCTACAAATCTACCATGCTTCCTTGTTAAGGACATTACTCCACTATTATCTCAATGCTCGTCCCGTCTTTCTTAACCAGCATGGGCCCCATAGTGGTCAGCAGGGTTTCCTGTTCAAAGCAATAGTTTGACTCTCAAGGCAGAAAAACTCAAAGTCACAGCAGGAAACATGACCTTTATCATATGCTTCATCAATAATAATGTGGTTGAAACTGAATCCTTAAAAATCAAGATTCTTATCACAAAGTTCTGCATGAAAAAGCAAACTTTGGCTGTGTAATATGAGCCTGTTACGTTAGACTGAATATGTGTATCTGCCTCTTGAGCACTCCAAGGACAAGGTATTTCTTTGTGATGGATCTGTGTGTTTTCAAAACTCAAGGCTCTCATCAACCATTCTTTGTGTTTCTCAGTCTGTTGGATGCACATCTGCTACCTCCTATTAGCACAAACTGAGACTCTCCAAAGGTGCACCGGCACAGATTGCCAATGACTGCGAGAGGGGCTGTTATGTAAATTTGTGAAAAGGCATGAAAGAATGGGCAGGAGAAGGGGATTGCAAAAGGACTGCTGATACTGAGGGGTGAAGTATCTAAAGGTGGAAGCCAGGCAACTAATGGATTAGTGCTACAATGATTCTGAAACCGAGACTGAACAATCAAACTGCAATAACACAACCACATCCCAACCACCACCACTGCAGAAACAGCCTCCTGAGCTCTTGTGACTTTGTTAATGGAACATTAACACATTTACAACTAACACCTTGACAAATGTAAATGTGAATTTGTACTCTATTTCAAGTGTCTAGTGTGAAATGAAAATTAATTGTGTTTTTGTTAGAATGAGCCCTCTGTATTTGGACGGTCTTCCTCCATGAGGTCCGCCATGTTGCAACGCCAAGTGTTTACAGTCCAGCCATGTACTGGATCTAGAGAGAGCATTATGACACCTGAAGGCCACCATAGGTTCTCCTTCATGCTTGAAAAGTGATTGCAATGTGAGAATTATTCAGCTGGTTGCAACATACAACTGGATTCCACTA